TGGTGCTCAATGTATGAAGTACTGTACAAGTAGGTTGTGTTGAAACAAATGAGACATGGGATTTGCAAAAGATATCAAGTGATTAATTTTCCCAACGTAATGGGGGAGATCAAAGAAGGGGCACATGTAGGCAGGATCAATCAATATGTGCGGACAGAGCTTTGCTTTCTAAACAGTGCCATGAACCAGTGTGGCAAAAAACAGCAAGCAAAGCTACTGTTATATGAAGTAGCTCATTCCTATTTGTAAGAATGTTCCTTCTTTGGCTCATGGCCTCTCCTCTCTTAAACTGTTGAAGCTTTGTGGTGTGTAGGGTGGGATGGGGGAGCTCAAGCTTCTTTCTGCGGGTTTCCTTGGTTGACCTCTTTGTGTACAGTGGTAGTAAAGGTACCCCTGCCCATATGGGCCAGTCGTGTCCGACTCTAGGGTTGTGCGCCCATCTCACTTAAGAGGCCGGGGACCAGCGCTGTCCAGAGACACTTCTGGGTCACGTGGCCAGTGTGACGAAGCTGCTCTGGCGAGCCAGCACCAGCGCAGCACACGGAAACGCCGTTTACCTTCCCGCTATAAAGCGGTACCTATTTATCTACTTGCACTTAAGTGTGCTTTCGAACTGCTAGGTGGGCAGGAGCTGGGACCGAAAGACGGGAGCTCACCCCACCGCGGGGATTCGAACCGCCGACCATACGATCGGCAAGTCCTAGGCACTGAGGTTTTACCTACAGTGCCACCCGCGTCCCTGTGTACAGTGGTACCTCGGGTTAAGTACTTAATTCGTTCCGGAGGTCCGTTCTTAACCCGAAATTGTTCTTAACCTGAAGCACCACTTTAGCTAATGGGGCCTCCTGCTGCCGCTGCGCCGCCGGAGCACGATTTCTGTTCTCATCCTGAAGCAAAGTTCTTAACCCGAGGTAATATTTCTAGGTTAGCGGAGTCTGTAACCTGAAGCGTATGTAACCCGAGGTACCACTGTATTGCTCTTTATTACTTGCTTTGATTTTTTTCCATTGAAAAGGGCAGGCTCCAAATACAAGAAATCTATCACAAACTGTTTTCTTGCAAACCCCTCCCCCCTCCCCGCCCCAGGGATAGAAATCCATGGGAATACTCAGTGGTAAGCAACCACCTGATATATTTTAACGTGAAGAAATGCTGGATAGCTGTTAACGGGGTGGGGTGGGGTGGGGGAGCTAATTCTTCACATGAAATTAGTGCTTTTGATAGGTTTTTTTTAAAGTGTCTCTGGATGTCCATAGTGCTAAAATATAATAACTACATCTTTGCTAAGATTGCATACTTTGACTATTTCTTCAGAATTGCAATGTGTTAAAGGTTAAAACCAAACTTTTTTTCAAAATTGATCAGCATTGAAATGTCAGCTGTCTAGTTGTGGCAACATACCAGCATGCAAACACTGGTCTAATATTGATTTCCCTGGCTGCATAACATTTGCATTGTGACATTTTGCTGCAACATTAGCGAAGTGGTTGTTTCTTGATCAATCGCTTTCGGTAGTACACACCATACAGCTGTACTCAACGTGACCTATTTGGAATTACATATTAACAACTGAGCAAAAGTATGGGTATGTGTGCATATAAATGTAAGCCCGGAGCAGGAATTGTGCTGTGTTAAAAGAGATGCTGTTTGCAAGCATAGTTCTTACATTATATAAAACTGCTGTTATGTTAACTACCAAATACAGTACCTAGGCAAAGCATCATTGACAGTGCAATCCTATACATTGAATGAAATCCTGTTTGTTGCATTCAGTATATATATAATATTGTTATACTGTTATATTGTTTTGTCTGATGATACATTATGTATTTTTGTGTTTTTATACTGTAAACTGCCCTATGACCGTCTGATGAAGGGCAGTATCTAAATTTAATAAATAAATAAATAAATAAATAAATAAATAAATAAATAAAATAAAATTATGTGTGCTGTATTAGAGATTCAGTATATTGGTCCTGTTTTATTGAATTTATTTGCCTCTCCTACCCCCGATCTAACATATTGTGTAAAACAAGACTTACCAGTAACTTGCCCATTAGATTTTCTGATATGAGGAATAAGTAGACATGGCATCACACACACACACACACACCATTGTTCCTCCCAGGAGTTCAGACAGGTGTATGTGATTGTTTTCCTTCCCACTGTTTAATCCTTGCAACAATCCTGCAGTTTACATGAGACTTGAGATAATGACTGGGCCAGTGTCTCTCAATAAGAGTCCTGGTTGAATCTGTATCTCCCCAGTTTAAGGTCCAAACTAGCCTAGTAGCAGCCTTTGACCTCAAACATGGATCTGTTCCAATTATAGAGGTGTTCACATGTTACATTCAACAAGATGCTGCTGTTTGGTGATGATAAGGTGAAACTCTGTGACCCTTATAATTCAGACGAGTATTCTCTTGGTATGAACAATGCAAAATTGTGGAATGTTGTTACAACATACTACATTTTTGCTTCTCTTTGGAACAAAATCCATAATAAAGCATAGAATTGTCAATCGTAAAAGATGGTGACCGCTGCTTTAAGCTTGTGCGTTGCTTGTCTGGTTATTAATCAAACCAGACTTTTTGGTGCTATCACTGCACCAAAAAGCATGAAATACTTACATTGAAAGCCAATCAATCAAATGCATGTCCCAGATCTATCTTTAGAGCAGCGATGAGTTGGAAGGAGCTCCTAATAGATATGCAATTATGTGCCAATATCTAAGCATGAGTACCTGTGTTATTTTCTTACAAAAGGGTATTGCATGGAAATAAAGATGTGATTGTTAAAAACAATATACATTTTCTTCATCTTTTTGGTGGCACACAGATTTAACCGTATCATTTATGGTTTTGCTGATTATAATCTCTATTTTGGAATCTTATCTATTATAGAACCCTAAAAGTCATGAAACTGCAAAGGACCTCAAAGATTGTCTAGTCCAGCCCTCTGCTAATGCAGGAAATGGACTACTATAGCATCCCTGACAGCCGTCAAGCTAGTTTCTGATCAAGTTTAAAGTAGCTACCTAGGTATTTTTCACAGCTGTAGAAATCCCTCTTTCCCTCCCAGTTCTCTGAACATATGGGATGACCAAAACATAGGCGTAGGACGCATGCTTTGCATGCATAACGTAAGGTCCTCAGTCCAGTACCTGGCATTTCTGTTTAAAAGATCTTTGGGCAGCAGACTGGGAAAGAAAGCTCTTCTTCATACCTTAGGGAGCTGCTGACACTCGGACTAGACAGTCCAGAGCTGGATGTGCAAATTATTTGACTCCCTAGAAGGCAGCTTCATGTTTCTGTATGTGGTGCAAACGTCCTGTGTTGCTTCCCTGCTCTCATACTTTGGCAACTGAATCATCATACTTGTCTAGGAAGCAATATCCAGAGATGGGCTTAGCGTATGATCTGGAGAATGAAACAGTATGAATGGGAGGCGGTTGTTAGCTTTTCCAAACACAGTGAAGTAGAATTCCCTGCTCCGTCCTTTCCTGCTTGTTATGGCTAACAACAACAATAATTTGCACAACGAACTGCAAGATGGGTGAATAACTGAGATTAGTGTAATAATGCTTAACGCTTAGAATGTTCAACATTCATGGAGAGCCTCTGTTAAAGGGTTTATGTTCTCGGAGTCCCTTTTCCATTCCTCTCCTCCAATCTGATGTAGGCTTGCGGCAGCCATGAGGGTTTCCCATTGTTAGGCAGGCAGAGATGGATGCTGGGAAGGTATGTGTGTGAGAGACCATGAAGACTGAATGAGAAGCAGCCAGTGGGTAAAGGAGGTATAAGTTACTCACTGACATTGCTAGGCATGATGATGAGTATTATTACATACCCAAGGATGTAATTTTGACGTGCGATTTTAGCAAGCACAGATATTTTAGAATTACTAACATTTTTTCTTCCTTTTTTTCAATGTAACTTTTTTTTACTGGTATTCTTAATTAATACTTTAGACTGTCAGTTGTAAGTAGCTGGGAGCACTTTTGTTCTAGTAAGTGGCATATAAATTAAATATATTACCTTATAATCCTTGTAGCAGCCCTTTAAGGTAGGTTGATACTGTTAGGTCCGTATTACAGGTGGTTCAGCAAGACTTGAGTCTGAAAATGGCTTATCTAAAGCCATTTGTTGATTTTAGTGGCAGAAACAAACACACTTCATTGGATACCATGCACACGAAAGCTCATACCAATAACAAACTTAGTTGGTCTCTAAGGTGCTACTGGAAGGATGTTTTTTAATATTTTGTTTCAACTATGGCAGACCAACACAGCTACCTTACCTGTATTTAGTGGCAGAAGTTAGGTTTGAACTGGGCACTTCCTCGATCCGTGGCTAAACCTTAGCTAATATGCTTCAGCAGCACAGAAGAAAAAGAAAAGATGTTCATCTAAGGAAACAACTGTAATTGATGGAAAGGAATCTGTTTTGTAAGACTTAACTATACGGAGAGCTCGTAGTGGAGCCTTCTGTGGAAACAGTTACTGAAACATTGATTTCCTCCGCTCTTCATCAGGAGTGGATTTGGCAGAGGAGTGGATTAATGCTACTTCCCATCAACAGAACTTAAGTAGTTTAAATGCAATGGTTAATGGGTCTGGAGAAGAACTTGTTGAAATAACGACATTGTGTTGATCTAATAATAGATTGAATCGATAGATTTAAAGCTTATGTGGAAGGCTGATAAAATTATAAGCTTAATAGGAAGAGGTAGAAAGATGATAAACAAATGGACATCTTTGAAAAAGATGAAAGAAGAGTTGTTGATTTCTGTTTCTGGAGATTTGACTCAACAAGAGAGAATGATTGTGTGAGAGACAACAAACGTTCCAGTGGTTTTTTTGAAGAATAAGTTTTTGAGTGAATAAGTTAATTTTATTTGCATTATTAGTAACTGTAGTTTGTACTTAAAAAAAAGAGAGAGAGCAGCATTTCATTGGCTCTTTGTGACTTGTTTCCCCACCCGTCCCCAATCCCTTTTAGCTCACAGCACGGTCATTGCCAATTGTACAAACAGATGAGAGACTCCAGCCTCTGCTCAGTCATCTCAGGTACTGTATCAGTATATTTTTCCTATAATAGTTCTCGGGGAGCAGTATTACTGGGTGGTCCAGTGAGCAGCAGGAAATGGTTGCGGATGGTGAACAGGTATGGAGCATCCCCCTGAGGTGTGCCCAGGCAGCTGCTACTGCAGCCTACAGCAAGCATCTCTTTGAGATTTGCCTTAATTGGCCCCGGTATGGCGAAGGTCCTAAGCAGTGCTACATTGCAGGTGGGACCACTGGCATTCTGACTGCTAACTTGTGGACCTGTCTGTGCCAGAAGAAAAAAAGTAAAAGGGCCCAACCAGCCCATTGAGGGGCTGTTCCTTGCACTTCACCAGAGATTTGAACAGGAGAGCCATGTGGACCCTCCCTTCTAAAACTCAGCTTCTTTCACTGCAGATGGTAGGTTCAAGTGGGTAGTAGAGAGCTGCTGTTCTTACCATGATTTCACCTGCGCCATCTCAGTCAACACATCAAGCTCATCCCTTAGGTTAGATTTCAAACAAACAAACATGTTTTGTCCTTTGGGGGGGGAAAGAGCCCATCTACAGTGGTACCTCTGGTTGCGAACGGGAATCCGTTCCGGAGGCCCGTTTGCAACATGAAAAGAGCGCAACCCGCAGCGGCGCGTCTGCACACGTGTGGGTTGCAATTTGACGCTTCTGCGCATGCGCATGATGTCATTTTGCACTTTTGTGCATGCGCAAGTGGCAAAACCCAGAAGTAACCCTTTCCGGTACTTCCGGGTCGCCGTGGGACGTAACCTGAAAGAGCATAATATGAAGCGACTTAACATGAGGTATGACTGCACTTGAAATTCATGCAGAATATTCTCCTTCCCTCAGACCCTTTTTAAAACCACAATCATGATTTTATTACTTTCTGGGGTTGTCTCCTCATGGAGCTCTGTAGTATCTCAATAGAAATGTTGTCACAATTTTCTGATAAATTTTAAGAAGACACACTTTTACTAGCAGTTCCTTTAATGTGAAAAATATAAAGGATCTATAACTGAAGTCTTGAACTACTTTCTTTGGGCAGCTGCTTTGACAAGTTTCAGGTATTTTGCTCATACTTGGAACATAATGTTCATTCCAGACTATGATTCTGATCTTGTTTCTCAGGAAGAAATGCCACAAAATAAATCTGTCAAGGTGCTCGTGTGGTGAAATGTCAGAACTGTGTTGGATTAAAAAAAGTTTCAAAGTGCTTTAGTGTATTTAAGTCATATTTGCTGAATTGTTACGTTGGAATGATTTCCTCCTAAAATCCATAAAACCAATTGTGTATTTAAGTTCCCATTGTAACAAGAAGTGAATTGTTGAAGATTTCATATACCATAAAAAACTTTCTTTCGTCTCTACCCCACAGTCATGCATATGTTGGTCCAGATTACAGCACTGAAAGAAACATTGGGAAAATTTCATTAGAACAGATTGACACTGTGAGTATTTTATGCTTTTAAACTGTACCCCGTATTGCCCTTGTCCAGCATGCAGTTTGTGTGAAGAAACTGACTTCCCTTTACGTATAATAACGTGGTTGGATCCAGAGGAAGTTGGCCATGCATTAGTCCTGTTGAAATCAATGAGACAAGGTTATGACTAACATGAAATCAGTGATGCACTAATGCAGAACTAACCTCATTTGAATCCGTTCCAATATATTTATCCTCAAGGAAACCAGTGGCATAGAAGTCCTGTTTGTTTTTTAAAAGTGATAAAAAGGAGTCGGTCTAGAGGTTTGCTGTAACTATTAACACCTTATTGTTAACTAAATACGGTAGCTTAATACAGGCAACAACCATTTTACATGGAGGGGGGGAGCTCTGTTCCTGGCCCCCCCACACGTATAAGCCTGCCCTGTTCTGCCCCAATTCTGTCCTCTTCCAGGTCCAAAATGACCCACGCTTCCGTGCCCACATGTCAGTTAGATGTGGGCAAAATGGTCACTGCCTGTACTGATGATGATGATGATGATTAAAACAGGCATATCATATCTAAGAAATGAAAGCAAGTAATAGTTGGGAAAATAAGCTTAATTAAAGTGCATCCAGCAATGTATCTGAAAATATTTAAGTCTGTTTAAAATGCATTATCTGACCCCTGCTCTGCTGTTTTTCTTGTATCTGTTAATGCACCAGCCTTCCCCGGCACAGTGCCCTCCAGATCGCTTGGGCTGCAATTCCCATCAGCTCCAACCAGCATAGCCAATTGTCAGGAATGATGGGAGTTGTAGTTCAACAGCACCAGGTTGGGTAAGCCTGTTATCCACTGACCTAAATTGTGATAGGATGAAGGGCAGTATAAAATGTTTTAAACAAATTCAAGATATAACTATAAATGATATCAATGCCATCACGAGTATACTTTTTTTTTGGGGGGTGAGAACAAAACCACTATTAATATACAATCAGAATCCATATTTTAAACTGGTAACTAATTAACCATACTGATTAATGCTTTTGGCTAGAATTAGTAAAGACCATTTCTTTTTTTAATAACTGTATTTCTGTGCTGCATTTATTCTTTTCTCTTGTATAGAACAAAATATTAGATTCAAATGCTTACAGGCATATTGAAGTCGTAAAATAGATTTACGCATAGTCCCTATAGCCCCTGCATATCCTTCTCTCCTCAAGCTGTTCACCTTTCTAAATGGATTTAATTGGTGATCAAAATGCAGCCTGTAAGTCAATCTATTCAATAATATGTTTTCCTGTTGCAGCTTTCCGTTAAATCATTTCCTCCCTGCATGCGCCAACTGCACAAAGCTCTGCGTGATAACCATCATCTCCGTCATGGAGGCCGTATGCAATATGGTTTGTTCCTAAAAGGCATCGGTTTAACACTAGAACAAGCTCTGCAGTTCTGGAAATCTGAATTCATCAGAGGAAAAGTGGATGCAGACAAGGTAAATTACTTGTTTGGAGCACTATTCAGTTCTTAATAGTTCTCTTTGAACATTTGCGAAGTCTGCAGACGTTGTCCATGTGTACTGTGGACAGCTGCTTAGACTAAAACAAGTCTAACATAAATAGCAATAGCAAAAAACACCTGCTTTCCCATCCTTTCCTCACAGCAGATATACATCTCAATTCTGCTCTCAGCATAAATTTATATTGCCTAACTTTGTTGTTTGCAGAAATCACAGAAGAAAGTCAGAAAACTTACTTACAATATTGATAAACACTTATATATAGTGATATCAATATTTGCTTTCAAAATCAATAAAAGGACCAAGTTCCACTACAAATATTTCCATACATTGTCCTCCAGTGCTTAACCTTAATATTTTCCAAACTACTGATCCATTTCTGTTTAGAGGATGGTTGAATGAAGTCCTTGTTCTGTCTCCTTACCAACTGAAAGGTAGCCAACATAACACTAATTTTAAAAGAGGGATTGATGGGGACCCCAGGGAGAGGGAGGAAAGGCCATATAGGCCTGTCTGTGCTTCGTAATTGGGTAGAAAGTCTGTTTAAACTTACATACCCACTTTGGGCATTATAAAATGTGTGCTTGGAAAGGGGTGTAGAACCATGCAAGCAGGCCCTGTCATTCCCAAGTTGCGTGGGAAAGCCAGGTTGGAGTGGTCAGAGCTGACTTTCACAGTCCTGAGGCCCCTGCACAGATACCAGTAGTCCCTAAAGGACTACTGTACTGAATAAAAAGTTTTGCAGAACAACCATTTGCCACCAAGAAGAGCAGATTCTTTGGAGTTCTTGAGAGTGCTGAGAAGCATGTAAAACAGGGGAAATCCGACAGGCATTCAAAGTCCTTTGCAAAAGGCTTCCAAGTATATGTAGAAGTCATGGGATAAGAGAACAGATCATCTTGCCGTTTCTCTGAGCCTTGATGCTAATGCCAGAAAGGCATAGAAGGAGGTCTTCTACACAAATGCTATATTGTGGTGCAGTAGCAACTGCATGCCAATGTGCACCGGTTTTTCTTTTACATTTCCAGTGCCTCCTAAAGGCATGCTTTAAGCCGGTGCCAAAAATAGACAGGGACTTCCAAAGTTTAAATGCTGCCATGCTTAGAAAACAACGCAGACTGAGCGTTACGTGGCGCCTACAATAGTGCTGTTCTCCAACACCATGCCATAGACCACTCCAGCCAGCTTGGCCAGGGATGTTGCTGGTCAGCAGAGTGGTCAATAAACCAGCAGCATCATCAGTTTGTCTCTTTGGCCCAACACCAGGTGCGGGATTGGCTTTTAAGAGACTTCCGAAGGAATGGGAGGTTTGAAACTGGAAGCAGGCACCAAACAGCTAGGCCTCTGCCCCAGGTGGTGGTCAGTCCCTCTACTCCACTAAACCTTCCCCTGCCACCACCACCCCTGAAATTTGGGGCACCATAAAGCTGCTTTCTTTCTCCTTAAGCTTTTAAATGTACTGCATATCCAAAGTGCTAATTTTTATTACTGTGAAATTTGTGGAAAGAGGAAGAATAATTCACAATACCCTAGAATGGCAATTAGTATTTAAATTTCACTGGAACAGATCGTTCCTCTTTGCACGAGTCGCCAAGAGTCTAGCAAGTCATGTGTTTGATTAAAGCATCGGTTTGATTAAATTATGTTTCAGATAGGTCAGTTGTTAAAATGAAATGGTTGCCTCTGATTATATACATTAGTTAGTAAATATTGTTTTTTTTTTTGGCATATTCTATACCAAGGTTTTTGATAAATATTTTTCAGCTTCGGGAAAGAATTTTGATGGTGCGGAATAAGTGTTCCTCATTTGCCGTGTCACTTTTCTGCTGCAACCATTCATAAATACCCCGAGGGTCATGCAGTCCACAAGACAAGTGATCCACCCCTGTTCAAAAAGGCTTCCTATTACAACATAGCTTTCAGTTTGGTAGAAGCTTTCAATTAACTCTGGGAGCAAGCTTAGTAAGTGGAGGTTATTTCCCTTCATTCCAGATACCAGGGACTAGGTCAAGTGAGTGTAGCTCTAATCATGTTTCACATTAAGAGCCTTTAGACCATACCGCAGATTGTGGAATTGGTCATAGCAGTTTTTAGTCTGTAGGCATTTGACTCAAAAGACACCTCCCTTTGTCTTTGTATTGCATACTTACTCTCAGGACGATGCGGTAATTAATATGAAGGATTGTTTTGTACTGTTGGAACTAGAACATCCATCTGTTAACGGAATTAAGAGCCAGGTTGCTGGTTAAAGAAAATTATTTTGAATAAATATTGCAGTTCTATTACCATGAAATAATGCATAAATTAATAAAGCTAGTCAGTTTGCTTCATATATTCAGAATTAGCCCTGATCATTAATCAGTGATTGATTTCAGCTTTTTTTAAAAACCAAGCTTTGGCTCCTTGATTATTTTTTTGTGGATGTCTGGGAATTCTTGTGTTCACAATAATAATGCATAGATGATAAAGGCCAGCCTCACCACTTTGCATCAGCCATTTTATTTTCAACATTATATTATTACATTTAAAATAAAGAAGTCTGACCTTGCAGACCTGAGGCCTCTTCTGGTTTAGCTGCAAAGTAGAAGATACTAATGAGAATGTCTTTGGGATATAATTATGTAGATTTAAAGAAGTGATGTACTTTTAATTATGCCCTGTAGCTAATGTAGATGCATATTAAACTAAATCATGCCTCTCTGCATTTCCCTCTGAAATTTCTTTTTTTTCTCAGGTCTTAAATTAGTTATCAGCTCGTTGGTGCACACCAAGGTTAAGTAAACTAGAGGAATAGTGGCAGATCAGATTTTATGTTGTGTTTCTAAGATGTCCTATCAGTTGGTGAACTTAATGGTCTTGGCGGAACACAGTTTTGAATAAAGCTTAGTTCCCCCAGGCAATTATATGATGTCAGCACAATACACTTCTGTAGAATATGAAAATACTGGATTATTTAAATGCCTTATTGAGGTATGTAACTTCAAATAAATGAAATGCAGGGTTTTCTCTCAGGTGCAAGTCATTTGTTACAAAATTTAGTTGTGCTAAAATTAATACAGACTGCAGTCTTTCTTTTTCTGCTTTAACTGTTGGTTTCAAAGTACCAAAGAGCAAGATAGGAAACTTCCTTGTTTTTTCTTTGTATTTCATTTTGAGATGTCAGCCTACATTGATGTATCCATTTGACTCTGCCCTTAATACTCCTATCATTCCATTGGAGTCTTATCCTTTTCAAGATGTTTGGCTAATTAGTCTGTCAGCCTCTTGTCCAGTCTTGAACTCGCACTTTTGCAAACTTAAAGTATTTCCAGAAAATATCAGATTTGATTTAAGCACAAATGTGTGTCAAAAGTTATTCATAATGTTATGTATTTCCTGAAATGTAACATTTTCATACCCTTAATCTAGAATGCCAACTTTTATTGCTGCTAGATATCTGAAATATTACATAGATTCCATTGTAATTTTTATTAATGCCTGTTTTGCAAGCTTATAGTTGTGTCATTGTAGCCTGAGTTCAATTACTTTAAAGAAAATGTGTCTGTTATGAAAATATCAGTTTTCCTTGTCTTACATAACAAAGCACACTGCTGTATGTTCCCTTCTGAATAGTTCGTAACAAACATTGCATGTATCCGAATGTGTGTTTGAATGCACACTGTGGAAACTGCCATTTAAAGCAATAAAGCATTTCCATCAGAATTAATTTGAATTTTCTGCCATATGTATCTGATATTCATCTGATTTAAGGTAGTGAGAGGCACCACTGTTCTGTTGATTAATTGCTTGAGAGGTATAATTTTCATTTCCAAAATTTGAATAGTTGCTCTCTGTAAGAACTAGGCTGTGAGGCAGTCTACAAAGTATTTTAATGCAAGTACCATGATTTTTAGAAAATTCTGTGTGATTTGTTCACTCTATTCTCCCACTGTTTTGCTTAGAGAAAGAACATGTATTGTAAAATATGCCATTAAATATAAAAGCCATTGCACCATTTTCACCTCTTAGTTAACTATAGAATAAAGCAAAGTTCTTTAGAACACTCCATCTTCTGCCTCATGTAAAACCTCTGTATCATGGAAATGCAGTCGAAAAATAGGTGCTGGTGTAGCAAGGTTTGAGTAGCTGGTTTGTGTCATGGGCTGTTAGTATTTTGAGATGTCCTGTCTGTCAGTTTGATAGACAGGTTCATTAACTGCATGATTGACGTAGCAGCCAATCTGATCCTTGAAGGGCCTGTTCCCTCTTCCTTGGACTGAACTGTTGTGCTGGTAGGAAAGAATAATGAGAGTTGAACAAGATGGCAAAACCCTTTCTTTATATTTTTAGGAGAGGCAGTGGGGATTTATTTTACTTTCAGAATTGGATTGTTAGTGGCATTTGCTTAATTATTGAAGGATAATATCCTTTTGGTTCATGCATTGTTGCTGGGAGTGTTAATTGGGTAGCTTTGCATTAAGATGCTAATCAAACCAAATTCCTCTCCTATCTCTAGTGGCAAGCAGAAGGTGTCCAAAATGTCCAACACTAGCTGCTAAAAATAGGCTATGTGGTCCTTTACCTGATCTCTCCTGTGATTGGCTTTTGATGTGGATGTGACAGGAGTCAATCATGTCTATGGCATATGCTTTTTTATTTTTTAAAAAGCACCAATCTTCTGACCTGTTTTCTTGTTCAGTGTGACTAATGCAGACTTACATTGATTATCCCATAGCCCACCATTGCTCAACAATTATTTGTTTGCTTTGCATTAAAATACTTGTGCACTTTTAGGTTGGAGTTCATACCTGTCTCTCCGTTGCAACAGTCATTTTGGTACAGCGCTCCTTCTGGATTGCCCTGAGCTTAGACTTTAAAAACTCACAGTTTGTGAGTAAGAGTTATAATGTTTTAAAAGCTTGTTCTCAAATTGGCTGTCAGTTTAGCTTTGATTAATTTGATTATTTTTAATAAGCCCAGCAGAAGAGGTAATTATTGTAGAAAATTGAGGAATAAATCTGCAGGACCGACTTGCCATACACAGAAATGATTTCCAAGTCCTATCGTGCCATGAAAAGAGTCTTCTGTAACTGCTACAACATGGCTGGCTGATAACATCGTTTCAATTTTAACTTTAAAATTGCTTAGCAAGGAGATATAATCAAATACAACCACTCAAAATCCCATTGTTTCATCCTTTGTAGTAGCTGAAATCTCTTGACACCACCCAATTTTTATTTCTATTTAGTTTGACAAAGGATATGCTTACAGCATCCGACATTCCTATGGAAGAGAAGGCAAGAGAACTGACTATACTCCATTCAGCTGCATGAAAATTATAATGTCCAACCCACCAGGCCAAGGGGATTATCACGGTAAGTGCTTGCACCTGACATGTTCACAATGCATGGGAACCCAAACTGCTTTGGAAGCCAGCTGATTGGCTGGCTGTATTACTGGCAGAAGCTAGTTTTCTGTGGCTTATGGCAGTCATCACTGTCAAGCCTAGTGTGCGGTTACTCTTCTGGTGATTTGTCTTATTACAGAACTAGGTCAAGCAAGAGAGATTCATTCAGCAGGGTTTCAACATGAAATCCACAAGCTGTTTAGTTTTTTAGTTCTCTTCTTGGTTCTGCTGCTGCTTTTCTATTCCCCAGCCCCCCCCCCAAAAAAAAACATGTCTCTCGACAAACAACAAAGTTCCTCAGTGCTTTTGCTTTGCTTGCAATCAATGCTCTTGCTTTGCTCTAAAACAGTAATAAATTATAGGCTTTTTCTAATAGCTTAACACTCTCTGGGATAGTATGAAATATTTCGAATCTTATGATCTCCCTAGAATAAAACACTAATTGGGTAAGCAGCATATTTCTATGACTTGCCTAAAAGTTACTTGGCATTGAAGCAGGTTTCTTTACACATATTCAGCTTTCCCTCTTAAGCAGGAATCAAAAGTAATGTAACAGCAAAGTAATGTTCCACAGAAACCTTTGGTTTCATTTAAAAATAATAATGTTGCCCCCAGTCTCTGCACACACAAAGGTCTCTGGGACTCTATTGGAGGAATGGGACCTTAAAATTGGTAGACAAGGTCAAATTAAGAGACATCCCCCCTTCCCCGCTCCTGGACAGTGGCTGGTGGGGAATCTGCTCCAAGAGAAGTCACCAGCCAATTAATTACGGAAACTTGTTTACTCTCACCTCCAATTCTTCCCAGTCAATTAAGTCAAATACCCTAAAGTATGGATCTTCTGTGTGGAAGGTTCCTTGTTAATTGTGTTAAAGTGAAGGTGTGTGTGTGTGAGAGAGAGAGAGAGGGAGAGAGAGCACTTTCTGTGTGGTAAAGAAGGTATATAAACAATTCCCTAGCTCCATCTTAATTGCAATGCATATTCTGCAATGCCATTTATGTTGGAATGCGCAGCTTGGACACCTCCAGACAGAGTACTGCATTGCTCAGGAGACAATTCTTTTGAAAAACTAAGGACATGCAATAAAAATGAGGACGTATAATAGGAGTTTGATCTCTTTACACACTAATGATTATGCATTTACTTAAAATGTACCTGGTGATTTAACCACCAGTAATTTAACTGTGGCTGTTATTTCGTATACTAGCTAAGCTAAGATACTTGGGTATTAAACCACTGTAGTTAGGCCCAGTGAAATCAATGAAATAAAATACACTTAGATTCAAACACTACAGCTTAATTATTTTCGTAAGCAGCATTTCTCTCCCTCCCTGCCCCCCCAATTGACCCTCAAGTTGACGTTCTCATGCTGTTTAATAATATAGCTCACATGTTATCTGTGGGTTTTTTACAATTAATTGTTACAGCTAAACTCCTGCAGCTTTTTCTGTTTGTATTATAGCTATACTATAATATTTGGGTGAATTTTCAAACTCATTTAGTGTGGAACCTAATTAAAGCAGTTTTCTGTTCAAGTGAATAAGAATCTTGGCCTACTTTTCTGTAACACATTATATAACTTTTGTGCCTATTAGTGCTATGATACCATACAGTGAACTAGCCGTTTGGAAGAAGCGTAAAGCTATTGCACACATGGGCAATTAGCTTTTGTATTAATAAGCTGCTGCTAGACAATTAAGGACTGCTTAGCCAGGCTCTCAAGTGTGCTGTTGTACTAACTTCTGAGTAAATAGTCTTGTTTGTGTGCTTGCCTCTCTTCTTTGTTGTTAGGGTGCCCATTCCGTCACAGTGATCCTGAGCTGCTGAAGCAGAAGCTGCAGTCGTATAAAATCCCTCCCTCTGGGATTGCTCAGGTAGGGAATATGTTCTTCAGTTACAGCAGCAATGTGGCACCAGGTATTTCCTTTCAGTTTAGTTGAATACTGATGTATAATATGTGACTGACAATGCATGCAAAAGGCCTTTTAAATCAGGTTGTAGTATTTGCTTCAATGATGTTCTCCCCCACCCCCAAAGTGTTCTTTTCACAATGCTGGCAAGCAGATTGATAGTTTTGTTTTTCATTACTGTAATCCACCACCCCCCCCCCCCCGTATTTTATCAAGGACGTTGAGCTGTCTGGTTTACTGCAGCTTAGAACCATAGAATCGTAGAGTTGGAATTGACCCTAAAGATCATCTAGTCCAACCCCCAGCAATGCAGGAATCTCAACTAAAGCATCCATGACAGGTGGCCATCCAACCTCTGCTTAAAAACTTCCAAGGAAGGAGAGTCCACCACCTTCTGAGGGAGTCCATTTCCCTGTCAGACAACTCTTACTGTCAGAAAGTACTTCCTGATATTTAGTCGGAATCTCCTTTCTTGTAACTTGTATCCGTTGGTTCGCTTACTATCATTTTTATGTGTTGTAATCCACCCAGAGCAGCCAGATGGGTGGGTTATACATAAATTATTATTATTATTATTATTATTATTATTATTATTATTATTATTATAGCTTCCGGAGCAGGAGAAAACAAGTTTGCTACATTCTCCATGTAATGACAGCTCTTTAGTTATTTGAAGATGGATAGCATATCACCTCTTAGTCTCCTCTTTATCAGGCTAAACATACCGAACTTCCTCAACTGTTCCTCACAGGGCTTGGTTTCCAAACCCTCGATCATCTTGGTTGGCCTCTTTTGCACACGTTCCAGCTTGTCAATATCCTTCTTAAATTGTGGCACCCAGAACTGGATGCAGTACTCCAGTTGTGGTCTGACCAAGGCGGAATAGAGCGGGGCCATTGCTGCTATTGCTTCTTACAGCCATGCAAGCCTTTGGGAGGTAGAGACACAAGAGGGCATCAGAGGAGGGAAGGAAGGAAAGAAGGACAGAGGCCAGTGTTGCTCGTGGCACCCCTGACCTTCACGACACACTGGTTGAAAACCACTGCCCTAAACCATGCTTAATTCAAGGAGCTCTTGTTTCATTTTAAAATTGCGGTGTTGATCTAATTTCCAGTAGCACCCAGTCATGCAAACCCAGAAGGCTGTGAGATTTATCAGTATACATCTCTAATGCTTGCCATCAGGGTGTTCTGATTCTCACAACTGCTGCAACCTTTCCTAAAGTATATTGCTTCTGTGCGTATTAGAAGCAAAATGCTGATATCACAGTGCGGGAAAATCTGACTCTTTGAGTTTTGTGCCCCAAAACTTTGCATTAATCTCTGGATCAGCTGCTTTCATGCAGAGGAAATACTTTGCTTTAACTATTCAATTCTGCACAGTAGGAAATTAGGGTCAGGGATTCCCCTGTTGAATATGTTCATAGTTTTGTGAGCTAACTTTGATATGCCTTTTGTTTATTATATCGTATAGCTGCTTTTCAGCCAAAAATCTTGGCTCCTATAAGCGGCTGTCAGTACTTCAGATCCCAATGCAAACAGCAATTTAAAATGCAAAACAAACAGAATGCTCCTAAGGAGTGAATCCTCAGCTGAAGATAGATGAGGGTGTGATGGAGAGATGCCTGGCTGCTACCTTCACTTCCTCTGAGGACCTTGGCCACAGCCCATGGTGGCTGAAAGAATTGAATCTAGGCATGATCGTTGGGGTGGGTTACTTTTCAGATCTGTTCCCAAGTATGTAAATGTTCCTGGGGATAAAGTCATGAAGTTCATGTTCCTTTGCAGCTTTAGCTTATAAACTAATAATTTCTCGTTCTTTTTACACAGTAGTTGCATATAAGAGATGTAAATTGCTTTAAAGTGAGTGGGTGGCCTGTTTGTCTTTTGACTTAATGCCGAGTGCCACAGTTTGTCAGGAAAGCATTTCTGCATGAAACATTTAAGACGTTTAAATGTTTTAAGTTCTCTCACACTGGCAGTGATAGCAATTTGCTTGCATCCCGCCCATTTTCATGCTAGGTTTCTCCAGGATATAGACAATTTGGCTTGACAAGTATTTTACTGAGATTCCACATTGTAGGCCAAGTTTCATCACATTAAGCAACAGTTGTAGTTCGAGATAAGATAATTTCTAGTAGTCAAATAAAAATCTCCACTGTTGGTGTATATCTAGTTCTTTTGGGTGGTTCAAGTCATTAACTACGGTGGTTGGCATTAACAGCTGCTAATGAAATGCTAGAATAATCTTGTACATATTCTGTCGAAAACCTTCAAATTTCTTTGCTTCCAAATGAACCCAGTTAGGTTAGCTGAAACTTCTTCTTCAAGGTAACCCTAAAACATCAGAAAAAAGTGCAGCCCCCTAAACTAAGCACAAGAAAGCTACACTCATAGATTCAGCTAATTAGTCCTGCCAATAATTGCTAATGTAACAGGGCTTGCCCCCTAAATACAGGTTTGGTGTTTGCGCTGACAGAACAATTGCTACGTTGTATTCCCATACATTGGAATATAGGTCGCCTTGCTTCAACATACCTCAAAAAAATAATGTTGACTCATATTTCTCTGCTACTATTGCTTTGAATTACTGATTGACTCTTTTTTTGCAGCATTCTTTCTGCAAAAAAGAAAGTTCCTCACCTGTCAGCAAGTCTCCTTGTTGGTTTTCTCTATAAGTCTTTATAAAAAATATTTATACATGGCAAGCTTATTGTATACCAACTTGATAATATGTAATATGTGCATATTGCATATAAGTAATATATTTATGTATAATATATACAAGTATTGTAAATATAATATAATATTTGTAATATAAATATAAATTGTACATATAATACATGCAAGTACTGTGTGTGCGATGCAAAGCAAGCGTGCATACTTAGACTCTCAACAGGCATAACAATTCTGTGTTAACTAATGCTGGTTATGGGCCTCCTAAAAGTGCCTTATAACAGGCATAGGCAAACTCAGCCCTCCAGATGTTTTGGGACTACAACTCCCATCATCCCTATCTAACAGGACCAGTGGCCAGGGATGATGGGAGCTGTAGTCCCAAAACATGGAGGGCCAAGTTTGCCTATACCTGCCGTATAGGAAGTAAGTCTGATTGAACACATTGAGGTTTCTAAGTAAATATAATTACCCATACTTTATTAATTCCGTCCATATAAAAAGCTATGATACTTTCTTTACATTTCATTGACTTCATGATTCTTGCTGCCAGAAGGAGCTTGAAAAGCAGATCTTTGGGGGTTGGGTAAGCTTACAGGTTTATTTGCAGGAGAGCTATTTTAGGATCTTTGACTATGGAGTAATGTAGTATTTCACAACACTTGCTCCAAAACTAAGCTCCAAAACTTCTATTCCCTTTATGTACCTTAGGAGTGTGAAGCCAGGCATGTATAAATTTTGTTCAGCCCCATGCTGGCCAAAAATGAGTCTATTTTGGGGTGGGTTTTTTTGCGGGGGGAAATTGATTTGAATCCCTATGGGCTATCAAAAGTGGAGCTCCTGTAGATTTTTCATGTTAAATGTTAGAAATAAAATGCACAAAGAAAGACACTAGCGGTTTGCTTCACATAAGCAAATAAATGAAGGTTTTTGCAAAGCCCTAAGAGAACAAGCTGAGGTGTTGCGGAATTGACCTGGAACTAGGGGAATATTGCTAAGCGTGTTCCAGTAGCTGCACCTCAATCACATTTTAAGTCACCTTTGAAATAAAAATGAAGGTTAGAAATAGATAAAATGCAACAAATTCTTTGCTGGAAATATTGAGTCTTTTAAGAACAGAAGTAACTATTTTATTTGAAAATGGCTTCAAACTGACCTTGCGTACCTGAAAATATCAGTGATTAGGAAGGTGAAGCCATTAACTATTTTAAGCTTGTGTGTGACAGCAGTGCCCCATCATCTGATCTCAATATCTTTTGAGTTATACTGCTAAGGAATTGTTTAATAGTCTCTCAAGTAATGGAAAGGTGAGGGTTCCAGCACTTCTGTTAGCTTTTTAGAAGAGACAATTTTAGTACGTGTATCTTTTCTCCTTCCTTGACTTCCTTCACTTGCCAAATTTCTCAGCAGTTGTTAAAGGTACAGAAGCTTTGGCTTCCTTTGCTACAAGAGAAATAATATGCAATGCTTCAGAAAGTAAAGGGACGGGGGGTGGGATTTATAGCATTATCTTCATTTGGCCACAAATTAAAAGTGGTTTTATATTTGCTTGGGTACCGACAGTTTCCTTTTGCTAGAGTGCATCATGCAGTGATTAAATAAAATGTATTCTCCTCGGCAGTGCTGGGAAGACAACATTTAACAGGTCAGCTGTCAAATCTTTTTTGGAGGATTGAGGACCAGTTTGTTCCACCCTGCAGTGTGAATATCTGTCACCACACTTCCTACACCTGGGGATTCCCAGAATCATAGCTGCCATTGCAACAAAATTGGACCATGGGATTAGGTACATTTCAAAGCATTGCTGCCCAGTGTTAATTATGAAAAGCACATGAACCTTGGTGGGATTCAGGGTTGTTGCATAGCTAAGCCAATAATCACAAAAGTTTTGTTTGGCTAGAGAGGTTTCCAATTTCATGGTAAAATCTGCCACAGGGAACTCAGCCTATGCTGTGATGCATAGGGGCTGGGGAAAACCTGGCAATCATTTTGCATTGAGGATGGTGTTCCAGGCTGCTAGGCAAAGAGCCCTTTAAGGATTTGCACATGCAAAGGAGCATCCTGTATTCTTTTCTTTCTCTTTTTTGGAAGGAGTGGGGGGATTTCCTAACAGTGGCCTCCCAGGCTGATTTTTATATTTTAAATTCTCTTGAGCATCTGAGTTGGCCTCTAAAGCAGATGGAAAGGAGTGAGTGAGCTGTCTTGGTAACCCCCCCCCCCCGTACTACACATAAAACAAGCCCCATGCCAGTTGGGACTAGAGCTTAAATTTCCTATCACCTGTGTGACTTCATCCCAATGCTGCCAGGAGAGGAACCCTCATACATTCATGGTGTGAGTATGGGCACAGTATTTTTGGTATAGTTTCTAATATCCATTGAACCCAATCCCTTCTTTGGCCCTTAAGTCAATAGACACCAATCTAGACCCTCTCCTTATACAGAATGGCCTAACTGTCCTGCTGTTTACTGCTGCCCATTTATGAACCTACCCGGACCCCACAATCATCCACTGAGGCCCTTCTTAATGTGCCTCCTCCACGAGAGGTCCAGCAACACGATAACAAGCCTTTTCTGCAGTGGCTCCCATTTGTGGAACACTCTCCCCAGGGAAGCTTGCCTGGAGTCTTCATTATACACCTTTAGGTGCCAGGCAGAAATGTGCCGCTTCATCCAGGCCTTTGGCTGATTGACATCCAATGCCCTTTTAAATGTGTTGTGGGAGGGGGGATTATTGGTTTGTTTCCATTCTTATTTTTACTATGTATATTGTGTAGTGTTTTTTAATATTGTAATTTTATGTTGCGAACCACCCTGAGATCTACAGGTGAAGGGGAGCATACAAATTTAATAAATAGTAATAATGAATACTATGATCACCAGCAGTGCTTTCTTCTGTGGGTACTCAAAGGTAGGCACCTTTTCTTCTAGGAGAAAAGCGCTGGTTTTAAGTGTGGCACTTACTATACCAACTTCATGCTGAGTGCCAGCACCTTTCTTTCCTAGAAGATAAGCACTGATCGCCACCTTAATAATAATAATAATAATAATAATAATAATAATAATTATTATTTATTTATTTATTTATTTATTTATACCCCGCCCATCTGGCTGGGTCTCCCCAGCCACTCTGGGTGGCTTCCAACAGAATATTAAAATACAATAGTCTATTAAACATTAAAAAGCTTCCCTAAACAGGTCTGCCTTCAGATGTTTTCTAAAAGTATGGTAGTTGTTTTTCTCTTTGACATTTGGTGGGAGGGCGTTCCACAGGGCAGGTGCCACTACTGAGAAGGCCCTCTGCCTGGTTCCCTGTAATTTGGCTTCTCGCAGCGAGGGAACTGCCAGAAGGCCCTCAGAGCTGGACCTCAGTGTCCGGGCAGAATGATGGGGGTGGAGGCGCTCCTTCAGGTATACTGGACCAAGGCCGTTTAGGGCTTTAAAGGTCAGCACCAACACTTTGAATTGTGCTCGGAAACATACTGTGAGCCAGTGTAGGTCTTTCAAGACCGGTGTTATATGGTCTCGGCAGCCACTCCCAGTCACCAGTCTAGCTGCTGCATTCTGGTTTAGTTGTAGTTTCCGGGTTACCTTCAAAAGTAGCCCCACATAGAGCGCATTGCAATAGTCCAAGCGAGAGATAACTAGAGCATGCACCACTCTGGCGAGACAGGTACATCTCTAATGGGATGGTTTGGGGTCTGGCTTTTTCTGGGTATCTGCGGCAACAAGAAGGGTTGTTTAGATGCCAAGCTTGGCATGATCGTTTTGACAAGGTATGGTCCCCATATATCAGCTTTGAAAATAGAAGTACAGTCGTACTTTGGTTTTCGAACAGCTTAGTTCTTGAACATTTTGGCTCCCGAATGCCGCAAACCCGGAAGTGACTGTTCCGGTTTGCGAACTATTTTTGGAAGCCGAATTTCCAACGGGGCTTCCGATTGGCTGCAGGAGCTTCCTGCAGCCAATCAGAAGCCGCACTTTGGTTTCTGAACATTTGGAAGTCGAACCGACTTCCAGAACGGATTCCATTCAACTTCCAAGGTACAACTGTAGTGTTAATGTTAGACCTCCAGACACTTGTGCTTACTTACAGAGAGGCTGTGTCACAGATATTTGAAGCTTTGGCAGTGCATTCAATGATTCAGTTATTTGACAGCATCCCCGCTCAGTTTTTCTTCTCAGGTGTAACTGATGTAAGCATGCAACACTCTACAAGTTTTATTGGAATTGATCAGTGTTATTTTAATACAATATTCCACAAAAAGCAAAAGGTGCTGTTCCATCCATCCATCCTTTAGCCAAAATAAGTTTTTTTCATCATCAAATGTACTACATAAACTTGATGCACTGATACAAAATGTGCTGCTGCTGGGTACCATTTCAGTATCATTCAAAGCAGCATTAACACTTTTAATTAGCAAAGCCAAGTTTTTTATATATTACATTTTATTATCTGTTCCATTTCAAAAGCACATAGACGGTGCCAGACTTTAGCCTCTTCTGGCAAGTTGATTTGTTTTTCACAAGATATGTAACAGGATGTGACAAGAAAGGCAGACATTTAATCAGTTGCACTTGTAGCAGCAAAACAAACCCAGTAAGCACTTCTTTGGCAGCATTGTAGCTTGATATATTCAGCAAATATTTGTACATCTGTCAATAACTATAAGGCAGCCTCCAATAATGAGGGCAGTAGGGATTTGTGCCGGAGTTTATTTCTGTGCTTGACATGGAAAGGTCAGCCTTTTGAAAAGGAGTGTGAATTTGCATTTCTCAAGAATTTTCTCTCGGCTGAGGCTATCTCTCAGTTCCAGCGGTTTCCTGAGCTTGATAAGCAGGGAATATACAGTTTAATTATATAGCAGCAGAGGGGGAAAATGACAGACAACTTAAATTTTCAAATGGTGTTGCATTCTGCTGATAAGAATGAATGTTTTATGCAGGACAGAAGAGATTACAAGAGGTAGAATTGGAAAGCAAATTATATTTACAAGAGATAGAGAGATGTTTCTAATAGGAATTCAAAACAGATGATTTCCCTTTCGTGTTCTGAGGAGCATTGCTAGAAACAACTTAACTTTGAGAGCTGATCTTAGAGAGGGTAGAAATGTAGTTCTTTCTGCCACTTCTTTTCTGGGAGCATAGTTGTATTATGTCGCACACGTCTGAGCAAGTTTTATCCAAAATAAATTATAACCGCATACTTGATTAGTTCATATTTCAGTTGCTCAAATGGTAGATACTTATTTGAAATAATGCAAGAGATTTTGCAGCGCAATATGTTCTGACAGTACACATCGTTCCTCATTTTTCTGTGTCATTTGTGAAGTAAAACTGTTGATTTCTGGTTGTGAAGGCAGAACCTCTTCTCTGTCTATGGATAATCTGACTTCAATTCTAAGTGGGAGGAAAATGTCAGCAGCATTGTATCTTATAAGACTACAGATTCTTGTATTATGTCAAACCCTGCCATAAATTGTAAAGGTCATATGTTCACATTGCAGAACATTTCAGCTGTTTTAAAGACCCTTTAAATATATCGATCACTTTCCTTTTTCTAGATTTTGGAACTGGTGAAGGGCATGCACTATCAGTTGGCCTGTCAGAAATACTTTGAGCTGACCCATGACGTAAGTGGTGCTTATTTATCAGGCGATAATGTGTCTCATTATTGGAAAGACTGGTGGCAGAAACCCTGTGCGAAACTTCAGACATTCTGTTCACATTCACCACGTGCCACCATCCTTGTTAATTACGCTGAGTTAATGAGTATATAGCAGATGTCTTTCATTTCATGTATGGATCGACACTCCGCATTTGCTAACTGTTTAGTGCATACATAATCAACAAATATGTTATGAGGTTATGCTGTTTTATTTTGTAGCAAAACTGTTTACATTTATGGAGTGGTATTTCACTGGTCCTAGCAAACGAAATGTAGATACAGTGGTGCCTCGCAAGACGAAAAGAATCCGTTCCGCGATTCTCTTCGTCTAGCGGTTTTTTCGTCTTGCGAAGCAAGCCCATTGACAGCTTAGCGGATTAGCGCTACAGCGGTCTAGCGGCTTTTCGCGATCAGCTGTTAAGCGGGTTATCAGCGGAACAGCTGATAGGCGGCTTAGCGGCTTAGGAAAAGGGGGGGGAAGCGAAAAAAACCCGTGGGGACGCGCAAGATTTTTTCGTCTTGCGAAGCAACCCCTTAGGGAAATTCATTTTGCGAAGCGCCTCCAAAACGGAAAACCCTTTCGTCTAGCGGGTTTTCCGTCTTGCGAGGCGTTCGTCTTGCGGGGCACCACTGTAAAGCGATAACACTTGATGTCTACATTTTTTCCTTCCAGTTTTTCCCCTCTTACAGGATGGAAGAAGACACAGTTCCAAGTTGCATTAAAAACAGTACACAAAGATTGATTAAATATACTGCTAACAGAAAACCTTTCTCTCCCCCCCCCCGCACCCAAACTCCACCTCTGTCCAAAGACACCATCAATCCATATGTCTTAATTCCAGCTCTTGTATATTTAGAGTGGCTTGCATTATTCCACATAGACTGAAGGAAAAACCCATATCTGTTTACATATTACATATGTGTTTACATATTTTAAAAGTCATACACCTCCTCTCAAAAGTCCATAGTGGTGTTATCCAATTTGCCTGACCATAACCAAGGGGAGTTATTTGTAATTTGCACCTCTCTTCCTTTTTCTCTTGAAGGACAAATAGCAAGGGCCCATCTCCATAGTTCTCTCTGCCCCTTTCCCATTAATTGGGAGAAACTATAAAATGGGCTGATTTCACGTGTTTGTCTGTCTTCATTTGCCCCGGAGTCAAGGGCCTTTGAATATGTTTCTGAACATAGATGATCAGTTTATTTCTGTATGTTAAAGATGCAGAACATATTGTGAAAAACCTAGTAACTGCTCCATCTTGCTGGGCAATACCAAAGATTTATATAATCCTACATCCTGTTCTCCACAGTGGCTTACAAGCTGTTTCTTAGGAAGCTCACAAGCAGAGCAGAATGGCAATTGTCCTCCCATAGCAACTGGTATTCAGAGGCTTCCTGTATCTGAACCTGGAGGGTACCATATAGCCATCATGACTTGTAATCACTAATAGCCTTGTCCTCCATGAAAGGGTGGTGTGTGTGGTGTGTGTGTGTGTGTGTGTGTGTGTGTGTGTGTGTGAGAGAGAGAGAGAGAGAGAGAGAGAGAGAGTTAGTCCCCCCCAACCCAACTGCTATCTCGATAATAGTGCTGTCCTTGTCAGCAAACATTTTGGTGGCCATTTTGGATTTAGGTTTGCTGCCTTTCTTGGTAGGTTTTGCATTTGCATTTGAACCATGGTCAGTTCATCTATGTAGAGCAGTTGTAGGGAACCTCTAGCCCATGGGCCTGATTAGACCTGCTATTTTTGGTCTTACTGAAAAGGAAGACATTCTAAACATGCTGCTACATCTTCCTGTCCACTGGATGCCAGAATTTGATGGCTTTTCCTGTTGCCCTGTCCCACAAAAACCAACCAGTCATCTGTCTCCCCTGGTGATGAATGAAAATATTTATGAATACAGTAAGAGGAAAAAATGAATTTAAATATAGAAGAATGCTGAGCAAAGCATTGAAATTCAAGGTTACGCTTTCTAATGTAGAATATATTCTTTGTTACTTGCATATTATTATTTTACTTAGAAATGTATCGAGAAATTGGGAGTGTTGGTGCCACATTGAACTTCAAGTTTTATTTAAATATAATGAAATTACTTTCTGGTGCCAAAATCTTAAAATTGAGCCCCAAAAGTCAGACTGTAAGGAAAAATACTTAAGTCATCACTTGTATTGTTACAGCTATAACAATATGGTGTTTTAAAAGGAGGCAGAACAATTATATAACCAACACAAAATATAAGTGATTAAATTTATAGCTTAATCCATGGTTAAGGAAAAGATATTGGTGGCATTGCAATTCTAGTGCCCTCTGTGAGTCACAGAGACCAATAGATTCATAGTTTTCATAGGGGCAAATGGAGGGAATGAATTGTTATTCTTACTTATGGCAAACTGCTGGAATTGTTCCCATTCAGGTTTTTGTTTGTTTGTGTGTCAATTATTTCTTTGTCCTAACTAATAAACTGGCGCCTTTTTATATCTAAATAAATGTGCTCTTTGTGCTTTGATAGCTATAAATGTTTTGCTATCATGAGTGATTTGGCTGAGCCAATATTATTAATAAGGATAATAAAACAGATGTGCTGAAGCATTTTTTTTTTATTAAGCTGTCAAGCTCATTTGGTTGCAAGCAATATAATTAGAGCGGCTCCATTTAAATGGGCAATGCTTATATCCCTGGCTAAAAGGAAACTGCCACTTGCAAATGTAGCTTTGCAAAGACCAATGCGTTTGATATTGTGGTTATTGTTGTCTTTCTAATGGCTTTCCTTTTCCAGGAAATATGCATCTTGTTTATGTTTATAGACAAAAGGATTGATTTGCTTTTTTGATTTCTCGGTGGTCAAAATTTAGTTAAGAGCAAGTTATTAGAGAGAGAGAAAGTGTGTAAATAGCAAGGCAGCATACAGTATCTGAAATAATTCCATATGGCTTTGTATTTTTTGTGTTGTGTTTTTTTTTTGTAATAGCAGCTTGCCTCATTATCACTTGCCACTTTGTAGCTTCTTGATTAAAACCCCAAGAACACACAGGTTCAACACCATTGCTTCAGATCCTTAGTAAAACCACACAATACGACACCAAAAGGAACCCAGGCTTTGTGTTACGGAAGGACACTGCTTAGAATGAACAGAATCTGAGGAAAGCTTTGAGGCCTTAGTAGATGAAATACAGAGCAGATGAAATAGAGAGACTTGTTTTTAAATCCAGTGTCCTTTACCTCATGTCAGTTTAGATTACAAGCTTTGCTGGGGTGTTTTTTGTGGTTTGTTTTTTTTACAGGGCACGATAAATGATGTGGGGCCCCCCTCCCTCCTTCAACCTCAGCTAGAGTGGGGCAGGGGGAAGGAGTCATTTAAAACTAAATGCCTTTTCAGGTTTTTCTTTCGAGAGGAATTAAGGTCAAAATGTTTTTGAAAAGTATGTAGGGTACGTTAGCAAACTTCATTCCTCCACCAAAAAAAAAACCCAAGCACCCGTCATCTTTAAAGTAGAGCTTTTACTTAATATCTTAGCACTAATGCTTTATGCTTCTCTGAATAAAACAGCTAGGGCTTGCCTTTAATGATAGCTAATTTAATCATAGTTTGAATGTGTGTGTTTTTTTGTGTGTATGTAAAATCTGTTCTGAAGATAGATTTATTTCCGTGAGATTTTGGTGGCTCTGATGTTTGCAATGGCTTCCACATTTGACTTGTTGGTAAGAATTCTCTGTTTTGATCTGTAAAAGTATCAGTGATTTAGTTGTCTCCCCACACAGAAGTGTAGAATTTGAACCTGGAAATGCTCAAATACAATTGAGTAGAAAGAAGATACAAGCCTAACGCTGAGAGCAGTTGTTCTCTTAACAGGCCGTTCTCTGGATGTGCCACTCTGCAACCTTATATCCACTTACCTGGGAGTAGGATACATTGATTCCAGTGGGACTTACTTTTGAGTAGACATGCATAGGCTTGTGCTGTGAGTGTGCAGTTAGGACTTTTCCTTTTTCTTTCATTGGTGTACTACTTCACCTGAGCAAATACTTGGTTTGGTTTTGTTTATTTACATCTGGAGTGAATGTTTGTGGTTCCCATTGCCAAAAAGCTAACTGAAACTTCAGCACTACCTGCAGTTTATTATGCAATTGCCCCTTTGGATTGTGGCCTGTGCATTTGTCTCTTAAAAAACAACAACAAACAAACCTGTCCTCTTAGGTTGCTGTTGCAACAAGACAGGGAAACTGAGTATCAAAACATGTTTTGGCTCTTAGCAGCTTTTATCGAGCAATGTTTCACGGAGGCTGAACTAATGTATAGCTTTCCTCTCAACGCTGGCTATCTCAAAGCTTGAACAAAGTGAAGTTTTTAGTGTGCATTTCAACTCAAGGGTGTGTGAAGTACAGTGACAGAACATTTTTTCCCCTCCTTCTTCTTTTTTGCACAGGTCAATGATACTGGGTTTTCTTTGAACCACCCAAATCAGTATTTTGCAGAGAGCCAGCAGCTACTCGGTGGCATCAAGGATATCAAGAAAGAACAAAGGCAGCCCGAAAACTCCCAACCAAAGCACAGCAGCCAGACAAGTATAAATAAAACCTCCACTTCCTCTTCTGTAAATACAACAGAGGAAATGGAACTGGAGGGACTCGATGACTACTTTGCTGAAGATTAAGAAGCATCTGTTTCCATTTTGCGTCATACTTTTTACCATCTCTGTATTTTGAAGTAGCTCTTTTGAGGGTCAGGAACTGGCATCATGGTGTACATAGGCCTCTTGAATGCTGCCTTAAACAGAAAAAGGAAAACACTTTGTCAAGCATCCAGCTTGTGCATCAGTTTTGAAAAGAAAACTGCAACGTCGTTTGCAAGATCGAACGACGGTGCGTTTCCATTTCTGTGAGCAAAGCCTTCTATGTTGCTAAACCTCCCACCTCCTCCCTGGGCTCTCTGTTACCGTGCAGCTTATTGCCTTCTCTATTTTTCTTAATAAAGCGGATTCTGAAATGTAGATGAGTGGATGCATTGCTTGCGGTTTTTAGGTGATAACTGCTAGATAGCATTACATGCAATTCATAACAGCTTATGAATGGCTTGTAGAAATATACAAAAGCTGTCTTGCTGTGATCTGAAGTAGCAAAGACTGCTGTTTGAAAAAGAAACTAGGTTTTAACTGCATGATGCCAAATATATTTACACTTAAATGGGTGGATTGGTCATAGCCACCATAATTAAAATGAAGAGCTTCACATCCATTCACATCATGGGCTTCCATCGCCTCTCAGCTTCGTGGAGGGACAGTTTCTGTGTCTGTGTATTTTGACAGAACAAATTGTTTAATAAAAAAATCAGAGAGTGTAAAAAGGATAACTGAATTTGAGCCAGAGCTTTTTCTTTTCTTTTCTTTCATCTCCTTTCTTGAAATTCATTAATAGCATTACAAATTTAACTTCACACATACACACATACACAATACAAAGAAAAAAATTCTTAAGTTGAATTACTATAAGATGTTAATTTAAACTTCAAATACCGCTTAGCTAAAATAAAATAATATTATATAAAATAAAATAACATATATCAAAATAAAATAACATGATAAAATAATTGTGGACTTCCCATCATTTCCCGATATAGTTGACATTTATGATTTTGAATGTACTTATAATTATTACCTTACTTTTAATGTGCTTTCTAATACTTTCTTACAATATATTGTACCAATTTTTCTTTGTTTCTTAATGCAAAATTTTGCTTATTTTGCTTATTTATAGAACTCATTAGGCCTGTTATGTTTTGATACTGCTGTTATTTTTAAGTTCTCACATCCGCTTCTAGCTGGGCCCAACATAGGTAGGCTGGGTGAAGTCCTCGTTTAAGCTGCAGTTGTTACTGCCACTCAGAAAAGACAGGAACTACGGTAAGAGGACTCATCATGTACAGCAACTCCAAAGTCTACTGCAGCTCACTTGGGCTGGTAGTCAAGCTCAGCCAAACAAGGATGTGTGATCTTCTATTAGGAAGGACCAAATCCACCAATTTTGGTTTCTTCTGTTTCCATTCTTAAGTTTAGTTAGAATGGTTTCGTTTCCTACGTTTTGTATGTTGCTTTCACTAATGTGTTCATTTTTTATACACACTTTACCCAAGTAAAATGTGTTCGTGTGCACATTATTTGGCTGGAGAACTGCATTGCTAAATTTGGATTCTGAAGGATGGCTGTGTTCACAAATTGCTTCAGAAAGTGTGGATTTGGTAGGCAAACTTAATAGAATTAACCCCCTTCTGTGTACCCTTTGCCTGAGTCCTTTATCATTCTCCTTTTAGTTACCCTTTCCCTTTAGCGTAATAGGGACGCGGGTGGCGCTGTGGGTTAAACCACAGAGCCTAGGACATGCCGATCAGAAGGTCGGCAGTTCGAATCCCTGCGACGGGGTGAGCTCCCATTGCTCAGTCCCTGCTCCTGCCAACCTAGCAGTTCGAAAGCACATCAAAGTGCAAGTAGATAAATAGGTACCGCTCTGGCGGGAAGGTAAACGGCATTTCTGTGCACTGCTCTGGTTCACCAGAAGCGGCTTAGTCATGACCCGGAAGCTGTACGCCGGCTCCCTCAGCCAATAAAGCGAGATGAGCACCGCAACCCCAGAGTCAGTCACGACTGGACCTAATGGTCAGGGGTGCCTTTACCTTTACCTTTTACCCTTTAGCATAAAGTACACACATCTTAAGAAAATCTATTAATTTGGACTGCAATCCTTCAGTTAGGGATGTCCCCATATTGTCCTTGGCCCCATTATGCTAGTTGGTCACTTGCAACACTGCAGTGTTGGTGAAACTCCCATTGGTATCGTATATACTTGAAGCACCAAAGGGGGAAAAGTCACTCCAGGTACCAGTTGCTGGAAACCATAGGAGAGTGCTCTTGTACTCATGTTCTGCTTGCAGGATTCCCACAGGCATCTGGTTGGCTACTGTGAGAATAGGATGCTGGACTACATGGGCCAATGGCCTGATCTATCAGGCTATTCTTATGTTCACAGAACACAATGACACTCACAGCTACAAGGGCAACACCTCTGACTCCCACCAATCATAAGGCAGCACAATGATGATGCTTCCCTAAAAGCAGCGGAAGCCACAAATCCACTTATGGCAACGGGGAGGTGCAGATGAAGGTGTATCTCATTGCTCAGGCCTTTCAGGAAAGGTAAGATGTATAGAGGATCTTGTATGTTTTGGTTGCTGTCGATGTCTTAAGGTTTTGTGGTTTTAAGCTGTTTATGGTTAAGTTTGAATTTGAAGCTTATTTCTGACATGGGATGCCCTACAGTCAAATTCTACTGTGTAAGTTCTTTGGGGCAGCGGCCTGTCCTCTTTCATTCGTGTAAGAACTACCGTATTCTATAATACGGTGCTCTATAAGACGCACCAGACCACAAGACGCACCTAGTTTTTGGAGGAGGAAAACAAGGAAAAAAATATTCTGAATCCCAGAAGCCAGAACAGCAAGAGGGATCGCTGTGCAGCGAAAGCAGCGATCCCTCTTGCTGTTCTGGCTTCTGGGATAGCTGCGCAGCCTGCATTCGCTCCATAAGACGCAAACACATTTCCCCTTTTTAGGAGGGAAAAAGTGAGTCTTACAGAGCAAAAAATACGGTACTTTTCTTGCAGTATCACACTGCATTTAACGCTTTCCATATTTAATTCAATGCCATGTTAAGCAAGTCCAATTCTTCAAAGTGTTGGCTTTCTTGTTTCTCATCCTCTGGTCCCTGTAAAATTAAAACCCCTACGTCTCCAGATGCTTGACAGAATTTCTAATTTTAGAGAACGGTTTGGGCTGCCTGGCTGTCTCTTCGAGTAGTTAGCTCACTTGTTCCTCATCCTCGATGCCTATGTAGTAGGAAAACAGTGGGATGATAAGGCTTGTCATGTTTTCAGCTTTTCTGTTGACGAACTGCCTTAGGAGCATCTTTTGTCTTTGGCTGTACTTCAGCCGGGCAGCTGAAGAGGAAATACTATGGTTACGCTGGAAATGGCATTACCTTTTGTCTGGGCTCTTAACATTTCATGCTTGTGCAGCCATTAGCTGAAGGAGAGATACTAGAAGAACAGTGTTTGGGGAAATAGAAGAGCCTGAGGTTAATTGCTCCCGAGAGAAGGCTTGCTTGGCACTTCTTACCTACAACAGAATGCCGATCGGTTGATAGGTAAATCTGGGCTGCAACTCTGGAGCGTTGACCGATCCTCTGAGGCAGCTCCACCCCCTGCCTTGAAGACAAACTTCCACCTGGAATTTATTTCTGCTGCTTACAACCCAAGATATAACAAGGATGGGTGTGTTGACATTAGGCTGTTGCATGCGCGCTCTCTCTCTCTCTCTCTCTCTAATTCTGGGTTGTAGACAACAAAAACGATTATAACACACCACAAATTAATGAACTGCAGCATTATAGTCCTGGTTAATTGTCAGTTGAATGCTATTTTTAACAATGTGTTTTTTTAAAAAAGTTATAAAAAATTGCCTTTCAAGCAAGTTCCCACAGTGCTCTGCGCCCCCTCTGCAAAGTCAAAACAGAATAAAAATAGCTGAACTTTTCAAACATGTAAAAAGCAGCATCGAAACCATAAGCTAGGATTCAGTTGATTAAAGGCGGGGGGAGCTCAGGCTTCAGAGCCGAATGTGACCCTTTAGGGTTCTGTGTCTGGCCCCTGGAATGCTTCCCTGGAATTGTCTCAGACCACAAGCATTTTTGCTTAGCTGGAATGAGTCTCTGAATTCTGATCATGCCTCTTGGTTCTTCAAGAGGGAGAATAAAAGATTCAGAGGGATGTGGGATTGTGTGTTATTTTGCTCCTTTACTTCTGGCCACACACACTACTGACATGTGGCCCTCAGAAGATCACCCAGAAAGGAATGGAACTCTTGGGCTGGAAGAAAAAAAAAGATTGCCACACAAAATGGTGGCAGAATCTTGCTCTACAACAGGGGTGGAGAACCTCTGGCCCGAGGACCAATCTTGGCCCACCAAGAGGTCCAACTTGGCCCATGAGGCTGTTTCCCCCCCAAACTATAAACACCTGTAAATAAGTTGGCATCATGTGTGATGTCAGCTGATGGGTGGGAGGGCACATATCAATTTCACTTTGGCCGTACTTGCCTATTCCCATGAGGGAGCTGGTGCTTGCAGCCAAAACAGGATTTTAACTCCTGCTTTTCATCTGATGAGTGTGTGCATGTGTGAAATCCAGTTCAGTTTTGACTTCCAAGTGCAGAAGCATGCAGCCAAAGCAAGCAGCCTCAAGGTGTTTTGTTTTTTTTGCAAACATCAGTTACAAGTGGGTTCCTCCCATTCTCAACCAAATGCTTGGAAAACACAGGCTTCTTTCTCCCTTTCCCACCAGCTGATTCGGGGTGGGGTGGTGGTGGAAGAAGAATCACTTTTCCAGCCCTGTGTTTGACCCCTTGCTCTGTGGTTGCCAAGTGGCTGCAGGGCGCTTGGGACCCCTACACAAAGGATTATGACAGGTCAGTGGGGACAGTGAACCTGCCAGTCAAGTGACACCTTAATGATTGCATGTGATTGGCAGGTGGGTGGTCCTCTCACCCTGCCAGAGCTAACCCACAAGGTGCCAATAGAGGTTCCCTATCCCTGCTCTGTTATGTAGAGTCTAAGAAGTTGCCCAGGCAGCTCTACAAGCTATACAACAGAAGTTCAACATTGTTGGATTTAGCACAGATCCATAGGGAAAGGCTAGCTCTAAACTTCTGAGTGTAGTTAATTGCATAAAGTATGCCTCTCAGCGCTTCAACGGCAGAATATTCATAATGGGTGCTATCCAGAAATGGCTGTGAACTTAAATCCCAGTGCATTCTGTGCCTAACTTTCCCTGATCAGTCCCCCATGTGTACTGTAATTATTGAAACTGGAAAAGGTCCCCCACCCCTTTAAACAGATCTTGCATTTCCCTATGAAGTCAGCACAGATCCCTCTGGTGGAAAGGGCCTGAACAGCACGTAATGGGTTTGCACAACATTCATCATCGTCCATCTTTTCCTAATGGAAAACTACAGGAGCTTTGATGAATGGGGAGTGCGATTTGGCCAATTTTGCCTGAGCTCCTTAAAGTGTTTGGTGTGCACTCCCCGCTACTATTATGCTATTTTGAAACTTCTGATAGCAACAACTTTTCAGCCTTGCCCTGAAATTGCCGATTGTACCGCTCCAAACAGCTGCTGTGATCCTGGAGGGATTGTGGTTCTGCTGTGATACATCTAATCGTGCCAAACGAGTGAGAACAAAGCACACATCCAGGAGTGCAGGAAGCGCCCCTGGAAAAGGCAAGGCTCGATTTTGCTGGGGACATCAGCGGG